ACTTCATACTTTTTTATTACTAACACTAATAATTTACTTTTTAACACTACTAATTTGCTTTCTTCACTAACTTCATACTTTTTTATTTAATACTAATAATTTACTTACACTAATAATTTACTTTCTTCTTTGATACTAGTACTAATTTACTTTCATGTTACTAACATACTTTATTTTATTTTATTTTCTTACAAATTTTTATATTTATGATTATATCAAATTTAGTATTTTATTTATGAAATATTGTGTATATTTTTTATATTTTAAGTCAATAAAAATTCATAATTTCACTTTATAAATTGCCTGTTATTACTGTAATATTTAACCTATAATTCCTAAAATATGGCCTAAAATTTGGCTCAAAAATCACACAATAATTGTATAAATTCAGGTCAAAAATAGGATAATTATTGAATGAATTGCCATGCAATAATTGTGTGATTTATTGCAATTTTTAGCACAATTATTGTATGGTCAAATATACAGAAATTGTAGTGAATTTAATTGAATGATTTTTCAACAAAAATCACACAGACTTTTTTCATAGGGCGAAGGTGAGGCTCTTCACTTAACCACATGAATTCACTAACCACGTGACATACTAAACAAATACTTTCATAGCACCAGAACCACTGATCCCAGGCATACAACCAATTTCCTTTTGAACAGGGATTATAGGATGGATATAAGTTATATATTAAATAACGCCACCACAATTCATCCTCGTGATCCAAGGCACTCAATCAATTATCTCCTAAATGATGATTATTTATAGAGTTAACAGAGAACCTCGAGCAAGAGTTTGCATAGAATGAACCAAATAACGTGTAGGTAGGTCTTTCAATAATGGCAGGCAGCATTATGTAGTTCTGGCCCGATCTCTTGTTATCTATTTATATATTGCTCGGGTTCTGTTAATAGATGACGGACTCTAATCAACTATAAGTGATAATTGGATTATATGAAATTTATTATTCCCATTTCTGACATTTCCGATTATTTATTTTGTGTTCTTATGACAATAATAAAATAATTACTATTATTGAATAAAAATAGTTGCATTTTTCATGACGATTACATAATGAAATTTACGACATTTTGCGGAAAATGATGTTTTGTAACTTTGTGTAACATCAAATTTACTATTAAATTTACAAATCAGCACGGACAATAATCACTTATTTAGTAAGTCAGATGATTTCCTTTGTAAACCTTCTTATTTTGGTTAATTTGTTTTGACAGATAAAAATCCAAAAAATAAAAACGTCGTTTATTTTATGTATAATAGCAATGAAATTTAATAATTTAATAACAAATTATTATGACAAACCTTTTTATTTAAAATTGTTTTATTTTATTTTATAGTTTTTATGGTTTTATTATCTTGTAGGTAAAATACATATATACAGTATACTGTATATATAA